CGCCTGATATTCAGATCAATATTTTCACGAAATATTTCACGTGATATTTTCAATATAATATAATACTATAATATTTCGAGATATATTATATTGACAAGTGATATTACAACACTTGATATTTAGATCATCAATATTTTGACGAGATATTTCACGTGATATATTCAATATAATATAATACTATAATATTTCGAGATATATTATATTGACAAGTGATATTATAACGCCCGATATTCAGATCATGAATATTTCAACGGATGATATTTCAGTTGATAATATTTTAACGCAATATTTTCAATATAATATATCATATTGGCGGTTGATATTTCAGTCGATAATATTTCAACGTAATATTTCACGTGATATTTTCAATCCACTATAATACTATAATATTTCGACATATATTATACTGACGATTGATATTATAACGCCTGATATCCACATCATAAATATTTCAACGGATGATATTTCGATATTTCATTGACGATATTTCAATGTAATATTAAAGGTGATAATGTTTTAACAGTAAATATCACAGTGAGTAATATTGAAATGTGATACCCTTGGTGGTAAGGGTCAAGTATGATCTGGGCTGAATAAAATGGCGAACAAAGGAGAGCAATGGTAGGTCATAGTATGTAGTTGCACATTACACTGTACTGGTGAATTTGCGCCGGGGTTATGACGTCACTTGGTGGTGGCACGTGTCGCCTTTACGATGAGGCAGCTTGCAGTGGTCGGCGGTAGTTACTATTCGATATAACTACTAGAGATGGCGGTAGCACGGGAATTTTGCCTAGGAGGAAGGGTAACGAGAGGTGAGAGGAGAGGACCATTTAAGGTCACAGCGGCCCTGACTGCGCCAAGCCAATAAATGCCTCGGTTATGTGTACATTCTCGATTCATGTGCACATCACAATTATGTACAGCTGCATATTTTACATAGGATTGGGATGGGTAATCATTTATTTCGCGTTTATGTACTAATGGTCAAGGATATCCATTTTCTTTACCCAAAATTAAGATCTCGGGGATGATGTTCTTGAATTCATTCACTTCCCGGTTTTCATTTTTCTCTCTCTTTCTCTCTCTCTCTCTCACTCTCTCATTCCCTTTCGTGGAATCCATCACGGATATCTCTGGTATTTTCATGCTCGAGGGGACGATTTAGCATGACTGGAAAATTAGAGGTTTCAATCGGTTGGAGATACTCTAATGGTTTTTGGTTTTCAGTTTTTATTTTTTTATTTTTTATTTTTGTGGACAACTGGTGGTCGGAATTTGTTGGCTCAAGGTGCAATTGTTTAATTGTCGTGAGGACGTGAATATTTCTGGATGAAGACGGAGTGATGAATATTCCTGGGGATTACTGGGGAATGCTCAAGGTTATATGTCTGAAAATTATTCGCGGAAATAATACATTGAAATATCACATGGAATAGAATTTAGAAGAGAAAAAAATGAGAGAAATTAAGAATAGAAAATATAAATAAATAAATTTGAACTTTCTGAAATATTTTAATCATTTAACAAACTTTGTTTGTTAAATATTTAATTGACTTGAAGGTCGAGATTACCATCAAGAATTAATATGTATATATTAATAATTATATATTACATTATCTAATTCTCTGGTTATCAAAAAGTTCCTCGGGTTTTTCGGATTAATTATGAAAATAAATCATTACGATTTTTTCTCCAAAAAGTCCTCAACCAAAAATTAAAAAAGGTTCTATGTCTGAAAATTATTCGCGGAAATAATACATTGAAGTATCACATGGAATAGAATTTAGAAGAGAAAAAAATGAGAGAAATTAAAAATAGAAAATATAAATAAATAAATTTGAACTTTCCGGAATACTTTAATTATTTAATAAACTTTGTTTGTTAAATATTTAATTGAGTTGAAGGTCTAGATTACCATCAAGAATTAATGTGTATATATTAATAATTATATATTACATTATCTAATTCTCTGATTATCAAAAAGTTCCTCGGATTTTTCGGATTAATTATGAAAATAAATCATTACGATTTTTTTTCTCCAAAAAATCCTCAACCAAAAATTAAAAAATCATTTTTAAAGATTCATCGTCATTATAGCCTATCGGGGGTGATATTTTCATTAGCAATTGGCATGAGGTGAAGGGATCGTTTGACAAGATGCTCTTTCATTATCAGGGAGGTCGACTAGAATTTTTTCAGTGATGCACACGTGATATTCACGGCCGATGAGCTTCGTCGTTGTGCTCTTCCTTTTTACGTAATGATGCGATAGCTGGAACGAGGAAAAAGACAACAGTATATCATTTAGTTACCGGTACCAGAGGTAGATCATTTTTTTTTTCACCCTGAAAAAGGGGGAGAGAAGTGTTTGGTCGAGTATCGTATGACGTTTCAATCACTTCCACTCGTCTGTAGATATATTAATTGATAATTGCTCGATTTAGACTTCCGGATAAATTCCTGATTTTGTCACCTCCAAAATCCACGATTTTTCCGTTGAATGACCAATTTTTTATGATTTTTTTGGATCATAGTTTGATGGTTCAATACATTCGAGCGTTTTTTGAGTTTTCGTCTATCAATTAAATTCAGTCTAACATTTGATTTACGATTGGGGATTGAATTATTGGTTTGGATCTACTTTAGAATTTGGGGATGATTGATTTCTTCGGTTTTTAAATAGTCAAGATCAATTTGAATTGTCGAGTTTCTACGTGATGATTTAATTAATTCCATAGAATGATGACTCGTGTAAAATTATTAAAGTGTTCTTTCGATTTAATTAAAAATTAAAACAAATGATTGAGGATTTACCTATGGCTTTTACGCCGTTTGCAGTTTTAAATTATCATTTTTATGTATTTTTGTTTATTTAAAAAAATTTTCTTTTTTATTTTTGAAATATGAAAGAATGGAGAATGGTGTAGGTCACGTCTGCCACTGAGATATATATAGAATGCCGAATTTCAAATCAAGAGTAAATTAAAAAAAAATCTTCCTTGCCAAGTCTAGAATTTTTCCATCGATCCTTGTGGAGTCGATTGATAACAATATCGATTGCGCAGATTTATCCAATAATTTCAATCCATCACCAGACACTATTTTCTTTTAAAAAAACAATCCACTGTTTTAAACGATTTTTTATCAGGAATCTATTCCGTTATGAATAAGTTATGAATCATTTCTTGAACTTAAATCGCTTTTTTATTGTCACATACAAATACCAACCAAATAGCGCAATAATCATTATCATTAAACATTTTTATTACTCCCAAAAACAAATCATCTCAAAAACTCACTCCAGTTTTCAGCTAATATCTCGAGATCAAAGAGAGATAGCGATATTTTTGTAAGAACATTTTTTGTAAACAAAGTTGTGGGCAACAAGAAAGGTCATTACAAAAATACCGATATTTCTAGTCAATTCCGAGATATTTGCAAAAAGTCACCCCAAAAAATTTACCCACTTCTCTCCGGGAGCAGCAATAAATATTATTTATTAAATAATTTACCTTTAAAAACAAGAAGATAATTCATATATTGTTTATACAGCAAAACCGAGGGCAAATCCTTTGTTCTCTGATGTGCATCCTCAATGCCAGAAT